ATGAAGGTAGCTAGGATGAAGGATCCCTAAACCCTAAACCCTAAACCCTTAAGGGAAGGACCCTGATTATGGGATTACCGCACCTACCTTCCTCCCACCCTTGGAGCCCCGTAATGCCCTGGCCCTTTCCTCTCTGGCCGCGCTGCGGAGCTCCTGGCGGCGGACTGTCTCTAAAGGCCCTCCGGAACAGGGTTCTGGGCTTGCGCCCAAGGCATAGGGCCGACAGTTTAGGGCTTCGGGTTTAGGGTTTAGGGCTCAGAGCCCTTCAGGCAGGGTTTCCGTCCTGGGGTTTAGGGCTTAATTATTTAATTAGGGCCTCATCAGGGTTTGGGGCCCTTGGGTTTAGGGAAATGGGGCATCGGATCGCAAGCATACGGTTGATGATATAAATCCTGCATTTACTCTTAATAGGGAATATACCATAATTCCCATAGTTTATGGTCCTTAAAAGGAATATACCATAATTCTGCAGGACTTATATCATCAACCGTATGACTTTTCAGATCCGAAGAGCGAGGCTCTCAACAGGGAACCAACATAGGTCATTCAACAGCCGAGGCTCTTCGGCTTTCGGAGTTTGAGGTCATAGGGTTTAGGCCTTAGGGCTTAGGGTTCAAGGCTTCAGGGCTTAAAGCTTAGGGTTTAGGGCTTTGGGTTTTAGGGTTTGGGTTTAGGGTTTAAGGCTTGAGGGCTTAAGGTTGAACCTCCTACAGGTACCTGCCAACATCTTCAAATGCTAAGCTGCAAGTTCTAGATACATCTGAAACCACTGACCATAGTTGACGTCAGCGTAATCTTAAGCGCCAAAACACCCCCTGGCCCGAAAGCAACAAGTCCCCAAGTCCTACTGAAAAAGCAAACTCTAATGGCAATGATGCGAAGAAGAACAGTAGCTCGTGTTGATAAGAAGAAGAAGCAGAAGACGAAGAAGAAGAAGAAAAAAAGAAGAAGGAGAGAAAAAACAATAACGTTGATCACCGCGACAACAACAATCAGATTGAATACTGATACTACTAGTAACTACCTGTAACATCACTGAATACAAGTGTCATTTTTGCTGTGCTTATCTTATCCTCAATATCCCTAAACCCTCAACCCTAAA